TTCTCCTCTAATTCTTCTCGCAAGCTGAATATCCTTAGGCATGATAGTAACTCTCTTAGCATGAATAGCACAAAGATTAGTATCTTCAAAAAGTCCAACAAGGTAAGCTTCAGCAGCTTCTTGAAGAGCAGCAACAGCACTACTCTGGAAACGGAGATCAGTCTTAAAGTCTTGAGCAATCTCTCTCACAAGCCTTTGGAAAGGAAGTTTACGGATCAGAAGCTCAGTGCTCTTCTGATACTTCCTGATTTCTCTTAAAGCCACGGTTCCAGGTCTGAATCTGTGAGGCTTCTTCACTCCTCCGGTTGCTGGAGCAGATTTTCTTGCTGCTTTTGTTGCTAATTGCTTCCTTGGAGCTTTGCCTCCTGTTGATTTCCTAGCTGTTTGCTTGGTACGAGCCATTGGGATTAAGAAGAACTGTTTGGTTTTTTATCTTGAGAAAGTTTGAGATTTGATTTGTGATTTTGATTTGGATGAGGAAGGGGATATTTATTGTAAGAAGCGGGAAAAAGTTTTCGCGTTTCTGTTTTAGCGGGATTGAATCTGAATCGTTTGTTTTGTTTTTAATCGACGGATATAAGAGGTTTATGTGATGATCCGTGTGAAATCATAACAGCCGTCGATGAGTTTAGATCTACGGATGGATTGAATTATTTTCTGCTACTGATCCGCGTGAAGGTGATTTGACCAATAGTAGCAATAGAAGAATTAAAGGTGATTTCGCACCGTAATGGGCCGAAAGAAAATTTGATAAGTGCAAAATGTGTTTGCGATTTAAGAAGAGGATTTAATTTTATGTATTTTTAAATTAATATTAAATTACAAATATTTTTTATAATTCAAACTAATTAATTTTTTCTTAACAGAAAATAGATTTTGTGTTAAAGGACTTATAAAAATGTGATTACGAAATAGCTTAATGCACAATTAGAATCATTGAATCTTTAGTCACTTGTCCTAAAACAAGAGTGGGATCCTCAAGTATCATCCAAAAGTTGTGCCTCTAGAGTTCGACGAAATGAGAAATCTAAAGTCTGATCATTGTTCAAACATAGAAGAAAATACGATTTCACACTTGCTAGATAACCTCGGCAATACTAGAAGATTCGCTACGATGACAGAATTTTCTTTTTGCATAACGAAACATCTCAAACGAAGAAGAAGCTTCTTGAGGATTACCGAGTTCTCTATAATGTAACTTGCTAGTGTTAAGTTCTATGGACTTCCAACTCAAAACCAATTGGCAATGAGTGGAGTGGCCCATATCCCTTATATATTACTTAGGATCCCTTCCAACTTCCGATGTGGGACATTATGTCCTAATACGCCCCCTCGAGATGATGGCTCTTTGGCCATTAATCTCGGAATGTTCGGGCTTAGATCGACGGCATCAATTTTGGGCCTTGTCGATGATTGGACCATCTTTGGGTCGGATCGGGTTGGACATGTGTGGATCGGGCTCTGATACCATGTTAAGTTCTATGGACTTCCAACTCAAAACCAATTGGCAATGAGTGGAGTGGCCCATATCCCTTATATATTACTTAGGATCCCTTCCAACTTCCGATGTGGGACATTATGTCCTAATAGCTAGTTCCATTTCCATAGGCTCTCCGCAGAATACGCTTTTTATCTCTACCACCTCGAGCGATGTTAGCAAACACTGAGGCACGAATGAGAGTCTCGTTTGATTCACATTGCAAGATTGTAAATCCTGTAACACAAACAACATTCAAAACATGAGATGAGTGAATATTTTAGATTTTTTAAAAAAGTGTTTGTGCAAATCATTACCAAGATTAGGGATTTTAGATTCTGACAGACTTGAAGAAAGTTTGGCCGAGTTGTCAGGGCGCCAAAAGACATCTCTACTTCCAAACTGGACAAGTTGCAAAGTTGGTGTGAAAATGGCACCGCAAAGAACTACACTTAAAAAGGAGACCAGAATATTGGTCAGCAAAAATTTCATGAAAGGCCATTATATATATAGATGAATTTCATAAAAATATACCTCATAAGGTTCCTCAGAGATCTTCATTTCCCTAATCCCCGAGACACTAGTGGAAAAACTATGTACCATATATAATAACTCGACTTCATCAGGAATACCGGTTTTACAAAAACTGGCGATAATATTGACCTTGGTTAAGGAACCACAATTGATAAAAAATCTTAGTTATATCATCTTCCAGGTTCAAATACTCGAGTCTAGGGGCATCGACCAAAAGCCTCAAAGGTTCATACTCAGATTCCTTAATCCTATCTTCAACCTCAAAATCATGGCTTTCAAGTTGTATACTGAGACTGGTTAATGTCTTGGAGCGCACTCGTAAAACCTTTACATTATTATAAACCCTTCTAACAATCCCCAAATCTTCAAGAACAGGGCAAGGCGATATAGGCAACTCTAGACCCTCCTCATTCTCATAATGATTATGTTCTAAACACATAATTTTGAGACAATGTAAAGAAACAGACTCAAACTTACCCAACAATACCCTATGGAGTCTTAAGTAAACAAGCGTGTCACAGACATAGAGGCTTAAGGGCATCACTTCCCAACACTCAGGCTTCAAAGGACCAAACTCAACTTCAAGGTACTTAAGTTTAGGTGTAGCTACAAAATCTATCCAACGCGTGACACAAGACTTGTCATTCTCATCTTTCCGGATACTTAACTTAAACTTTTGCAAGCATGACTTCTCTTCCCTAGAGAAACCTATGAAATTTTCCACAAAACTCACAAAGGAATTGTAATCTTGGAACTCGAAAGAGTCCAAATCTAACTTAGGAGTCAAAAGCCAGACACTTTTCCATCTATTGGACAAAACACAAGTCCTAACAGCTTCTTTTGTCGGAAGATACAAAATCATCTGAGTTAACATCTTACGCACATTATAAGAAGATAAAAAGAGCATGTTGCACTCTTTTTCCCTTAACCATAGTTTTTTCCGCATGATTAACATCTTACGCACATTATAGATTATTTAACTATTATGGTCATCCAGTGTGGACTGTTGTGAATATTATGTTTTTATGTTGATGACCACTATAGAACCATTAATAGAATATAGAGAGTTCCAGATTAGTTGATCTCTAAGATAAACCATACTATTGTATCCTTATATGTATCTTATAGGGTTTTGTGCAAAAAAACCCTCCAACTCGCCCATTTTTGCAACTTTACCCTCCATCTCCGAAAAATGCAGATTAATACTACGAAGTCCAAAATAATGTGCAATATAACCCTTATACGTATATTGTAAACGTTTTTTCGGTCACATAAATTGGTTTTTTAAAATTCTAAAAGTAGAGTTGAACTCTTCATCGCGAGGGCTTCGATTTGATATATTATTTGTCAAAATTTTACGAACTTGACGATAACGAATAAGGGTTACATTGCGTATTATTTGGGACTTCGTAGTATTAATCTGCATTTTTCGGAGATGGAGGGTAAAGTTGCAAAAATGGGCGAGTTGGAGGGTTTTTTTGCACAATCTTATATCTTATGAAATACACCAATAACAAGAGATTAATTTTCTAATCTCTTTTGTTCATAACAGAAAACTTTTCTCATCATTTCTCAATCTCACTCAGTTTACCCTATCTTACATCCCTTCTATTACACACAAAGTACAAAATTGTCTATTTAGCAAATTTTGAGTAGCAAAGTAAATTCTTTCTAATTATGTTTTAAAAACTGACTATTCTTTCAATTCACCCATAATATAATACTGACGTTTTGTCTTGCTATTTAAGCAAATGACAAATCACAATATCCTTGAAGTTCTCATTTCCTCTCTTCTAGCTATAGCCCTATATACTCATTCAACGACCTTCAAAAATATCTGAAAAATCACGACAACTTGTCTTCTTAAGTTTTGATCAAGTTAAATTAACCAGCCACCCATGTAAAGTAGAACTAGCTCAAAGTCAAAGAGTCGCTTAGGTTACGCTAGATATATTATAGATCAGCCAACCTTAGGTATAGATAGGTGGTGGAGAAACCAGCCGTCTATATGAACAATGTAGCCATCAATATGTATAGATAGGTGGTGGAGAAACCAGTCGTCTATATGAACAATGTAGCCATCAATATGTATAGATAGGTGGTGGAGAAACCAGTCGTCTATATGAACAATGTAGCCATCAATATGTATAGATAGGTGGTGGAGAAACCAGTCGTCTATATGAACAATGTAGCCATCAATATGTATAGATAGGTGGTGGAGAAACCAGTCGTCTATATGAACAATGTAGCCATCAATATGTATAGATAGGTGGTGGAGAAACCTCCCATCAACTATTATTAGCTACTTGCAAATTTAACAATTTTCTATTAGATTGCAAGCGTATGTTTCATTTGTGGACTTAACAAAATGAAAGTCTTACCATTACATAATTATAAATAGAAGTTGGTTTTACGCTTATTTTGTCACGTAAAGTAGTTAGTAATTAGTCATGGCTAAGCTTGCTACCATCATCATCACGGTTATATCACGAGTAATGATCTTATCATATACATGGCAAAATGAATTGTAGACTTTTTTTTTGGTTGTAATTAGCCATAATGTGATATAAAATATATGTATGCAGAAGCACCAAGAATGGTGGAAGCACAAAGGTTGTGCGAGAGGCTTAGTGGTACAACGTGGGGAGTCTGCGGAAACAGTAATGCGTGCAAGAATCGGTGCATTCTACTGGAGGGAGCACGACATGGTTCTTGCAACTTTATCTTCCCATATCACAGATGTGTCTGTTACTTCCCATGTTAATTGACCAAAAACTTTCAAGGTCTTATCATGCATGTGTTTTACATATAATAAGTCTATGTCACTCCATGGGTGACTTTATGACATGTATGCCTGTGTTTCAGTGTTTGGTTCTATTAAAGTATAAACTTTTCTTAAGTGTTAGAACCGTTTGTTAGCATGTACAACTAGAATAAAGATCTGATATTAAAATATGCATATAAATGTGAGTGTAATAAAAAAAAAAAAAATGTACATCTGAGTTTACTTAACGTCACATGTACTAAGCCACACATATCGCTAATTTGAAACATCGACACTACTATGACAATCTAAGTAGACTAATAATCAAGATGTTCTCAAACAAATCTATTGGCGATTGAGCAAGTTAATCATGGCAAAATTAAAGATGGAATGGGCTGAGAGTGAGACGACGAGAAGTAGATTGTGCTTGTAAAATGGCGAAACGTTAAATTTTTCAAAATCCTTTGAACATGAGGTGTGTTCTTCTATCCATTCATTTTAAAAAAAAAATAAAGAGACGAGAGAAGAAGGAAGAGTGGCCATCCAACCATCTTCGTCAATGAAATTTTTGGGTTCAATAAGAAATTTAACATCTTTAGCAGAAAGATTCTTCTCCCATCCAACTCTTCCTTTCTTATTCGCTCCTTCCCCTGTGCAGTTTATCTCCGCATATGTAAATTTATGCCTGATTTTAATTATTTTGTAAGTCGGATATGTAACAAATGCATATATTATAAGCAAAAAAAGAATAAACATGACGTACACTTGGTCGTTATAATCCCAAGCATCCCATCCTCGAGGTACGACAACATTGGACATGTTGGTTTCATAGAAGACAACTCTAGAGTAGTTTCGGTAAGCTCTTCCTAAATATGCCTTACCATCTCCTTGAATCAAACAATTTTTGAACACAAATCCACTTTTGTCTTCCTCGCTTTCCCTTCCTTGTGCGGTTATGAATCCTTCTAACATTCCTCCTTCCTTCATCAGTTCCTTTGATGTCACTGCTTTAACGTATATCACACAATTCTGCATCCACACACATAAAGTCATTTAGATATATAAATTTATTCAGTATGATATGAAAAACATAGAGTAAAATAAGGTGTTCTTCTTTGTAGTTTGGCCTTGGTAGGTTTAGCTTCTGTTTCGGGTTTATGCATGAAACCGGCTCAACTCGGCCAATCCCTAATTTTTAGAATTTTATACGGCACAACCCGGCCCTCAGATATAGCGCTTGTCAAAACGCTATGGAATAATTAGATAGCGTTATTCGGATGCTACAAAAAGCCATTTTTCTTGTAGTGCCTATTGTTAACCCTCATTTATGAGAGAAATATGAGATTACTTGGTATATAGATTGGCCTCCTCCCCATATGAAATCGATGGCTCCTAGAATGTAACAATTTATAAAGTAGTGGCGGCCGAGTAAATCAGCGACTGTGTCTTGGACACTGATGAAGCTGCAGCCATAGAACCACGCCTTGTCCGCGGCTAGTATAACTGATGGAGCTACCTTTATCGCTTTATATGGTATTATTGGTGTCATCCTTGTATTCGTATTCTGCACAACCAGGATGTCAGTTTCGCAATATTTATTGTACTAGATTTTATTTCATATCATATTCATATATGTAGAAATCGATCCAATAATTTATATATCTCATCATGGAATGCAAATACCTAACTATTTAAATAGTGAAAGGGTGATTTTTTTTTTTCTATTGACTGCTCACGCTAAGTGTTTATTTTTTTAGTATTATTGAACGGAAATCATCGTATTAAGTGTTTTTTTTTACAACTTAGATTTCATTTAAGAATATGTGTCGTTTTATATTTTCAAAGTCAACTTTCGATAAAAGTTTCAATTTGATTTCTACTACTTTAATGTATTAACCAATAAAAAATTATATAGTATATTCTTAGAAGTAAAAATGAAATGTCATTATTTTTAATATGTGTGAAAAATCTTAACACATTTAATATAAAAATAGAGAGTGGATTATTGTAGATTAATAAATTTCTATTTTAATTATTTTTTATTTTATTTTCTATTTTTAATTATAGTTTAATACATGCATTGTATATGCTTGGAATCACTATATAAAAATTTAATAAATTTTGTAAGTAGTAAATTGCTACATTGTTTTGTAAAAAATATACAAGTACTTTCATCATCTAGAGATAAATATTGTTTTATTTGTAAAAGTTGATCGTGTGAGAATGATTGATAGAACTAGCCATATTAATATATATATTTTTTGGTTTCAGTAAACTACTAATAGAAACTCTAACCTTGAAAGTAATGTTGATAGCGACGAAGTATTCGGCGTCAACTCTTAAAGGACCACTCGAATTGGCTAGTCCTGCATCATTATATTGAATTATCACTTTTGATGCATTGTTTCCTTCCATTATTATCTTTTGCTTCTCCTTCGGAATGACTATCTTTTCGCTGCATTAATATACATAATTTAGTAACCCAAAAATCAAAAAGAATTCAATTGCTTGATTCTTCTTAAATGTAGATGAGAGAGCTTACTTGTAGGTTCCATGTTTAAGATAAATCTTAATCCAATTTTTGTTACCAGAAGGAATAGAGTCCATGGCTGCTCGGATGGTTTTGAAATCACCTTTACCATTATGACTAACCACCAATGTCTTTGCTATATCTTTGTAGATATCTTTTGGTTCTAAACCATAAGAAGATACAAGTGAAGTCGTTGCCGTCAAATACAAAAATGAGAGGACTAAAATACTCTTAAGAGATTTCATTGGTTAAAAGCAAAGGTTTTTAACCCTTTTAAGCACCAAAAAAAAGGCAGAAGTTTCAACTTGGCTTATAGAATAAAAAAAATTTCATCTTGATTTGTTTTTTTCTTTCTCTATTGTTGATTTTGGATGTTTATATATAAATTCTCCCTATTGCCCATTGGCATGGCAATGGTATTTTAACAACTTCAAAATATAAACATTTTCTTACATGATTCCAAGTATGGTTAAAGATCCACTGATTGAATTTATTAATTCCAAAAGAAAGTATATATTACCCAATAATTTAGTGTACACTAATTAAAAAAATAAAATTTTGAAATTAATTACATAGCAGCAATAAATAAAAATAATTATATCCATTGAAATTGATTCATTAAAAAAATCTAATTAAAATTTAATGTTAAGTAAATATATTGAAGAGAATTGTGCATATATTAATTTTTATAAGAATTTTCTAAACTACACAGTAAATAAGTTTGTAATCATATAACATGCTGATTAAGTTTGTACATTTCCTTACCTAATTCCAACTACGGCAAAAGATCCACTGATTTCATTTCTTAACCAAAAGCACGTGATTCTTGATTTTATTTTACTATTATGGTCTAGATCTTCTGAAATTGATAACATATGCTAGAGAATTGTCGGAAATAACCATGAACTGCTGTGACTTCCAAATCAAAAACAAATTATGATTTGTTTCCTAAGTGAGTTTTAGGATAAAAACAATTCTTAGACTCCTTTCAAGCTCAAGAACATGTTTATGAAGGATCTAACATGACCTAAAATGTTTTTACTAGGGGAAATGAGTTTAAGAAGATATGGCTTTCCCGATCTCTTTTCAATCCTAGATTATAAATTCAGTTTGGTGGTATTAATCTAGAAAGTAGAATAAATCGAAGGGGTCAAATTTTGTTAAGTAAACAGGAAAAGTCAAATCGTTGACTTTGAAACCATTTTGATTAAAATGTTAATTTGGGAAAAGAGAGTGTTATTGAACCTAATTTCTGGTTTTCTTGGTTTAGTTAGGTTAATTGTTAAAAGGATTTCTCAATTATTGAGTTGATTTTAGGAAATGGTAAGTAAGCAGGGCAAATGAAGGTTTTAGTTAGAAATGCTTAGTCTAATTGTGGAAAAATTGGAAAATGTTACTAAAATGATGAGGTTTGGGCCCAAAAGTTTATTTTAATTTACTTTTTGTTTTCATGCTTATATTTTTTTGTGTGGTTACTATCGAATTTCTCCTTTTTTTTGTTTTGTTTGCTTTTCCGTTATATGAGTTTATCAATATAACTAAAACAAAATGATGTCTCTCCAGCTTGACACATCAGTATTTTTGTGCAAATGGAGCTGACACATCATTTAAGTGACTTAGCCAATCAAAATACAAAGATGAATACACATCATATTTGATTAACCACTAATAAACCCAATTTCCCAAGACCCTACTATATACCCAATTTGATACACATCATATTTGGGCCCAATATATTTGTCCAATTGTAATTTAATGAAGAAATTATTTTCCAAAACCCTACTAAGTTGGATTAGTGGGCCTAAATTGGCTTTAACATTTGAATCCAATCACGGGGCTTTTGTTCGTCGTCTTCCGCTTCGCTTCCAAACCACCTTCGGCCACCGCTTTACCGGTTTCTCCTCCGGATACTTCTCCAGCATTTCTTTCGGATACTTCTCCGGCATCTCTTTCGGATACTTCTCTGGCGTCTCCATCGCATACTCCTCGGATCTCTCCACCGGATACTTCTCCGGCTGCTCCTTGCTTGAGTTTGAGACAGAGTCAATTTGCGTCTAATGTAAAACCACTTCTGCTGGTTTGGATTCGAACCTTTTTCAAAGAAGACTACTCACCGGATACTTCTCCGGTTTCCTCATGCTTGCGTTTGAGGTAGCTTCAGGTTGCTACCAGCCTAGAACCACATTTGTTGGTTCGACTGTCGTCTTAACGTCACAATGTATGGTGACTATCTCCTCACCGGTTGATGATTATGTGTTGAATACGTTTTCTCTCATGGGCATGCTCGTGATAGTTTGTTTCGACATTTCTCCTGGTACCCTATCAAGCTCTGTCGTGCTTGTGTATCTATGTTTGTTTTATGTTTGCTCCGGTGTTTTTACTCCCAAGCTGGCTTTTCGGGTTTGTCCGAATAAGCTCCTTCCGTTTGTTTCTTTCTAGCTTTAATGAAAGAGTTTGGTGCACAAAAAAAAAAAATTGGCTTTAACATTATGTTATTGTATATGCCAAATTGGTTTCATATGCTAGTGTATTTAGCTTTATTCTCTGTTCTGTAAGAGCATTTCCATCCCTAAGAACCTTTAAGAAATTTTTAAACAAAAAAATATGATTATTTTAATATAATCTAGTTATGTAGTTAAATTTTAATTTTAAAAAGAAAAAAACCAATATGAGAAACACATGTGATTTAATATAATTTAGTTATGTAATTAAATTATAATTTAGTTATTTCAATTTCTTCCGAGTCTCTCAGGAGTTTTTTTTTTTTGCTTTAGCTTATAGATTGATTCCATGTGGGTGTTTGGTTAGGAGAATTCTTGAGTCGTGATGACTACAAGGATCATTGTACTATTTTTATAGTTTTAATTGCAGTATTCTTTGCTTATGTTCTACAAAACTGGGATCAATTTTGGTTAAATGTAGAGTTTTATGGATGTGTTTATGAACTGTTTGATGAAATGCCTAAGCTGAGTTGACATTAGGGTGGCTTTTATTAAGTGGTATTATTTTTAAAACTATTATGTTGTTTTGAACGCAGAGAAAGTATGCTCTTCAAGTTGTAGTTCATTCGAAACGCAGAGAAATAAAAAACAATAGACACAGAGAAAGCCCTTCACCAGCCGCTCATCTTCAAATGCTTATCGATAAAACTATCAGAAACTACATAAACAATCTTCGAAACTTAGGGAATGAAAAATATTAGGACCTCATCTTATGGTTTTCTTCTCGAATACAAAGTGTGAATAAAAAAACACTTCATTTCTTTTGAGCTAAGTCACACTTGTAGTAACAAAACATCTTTCAATGAATAAATTTTACTTTCATTCAAAAAAAAACAAAAACAAAAATAAAGATTGAACAATATGAAAGCATAATCAACATTGCGTCCATGTTTGGGAACATAACATTAGGTCAACTATCTTGTTGAAGAAAAAGAGACCATCAATTTGGGCTCTCCAATTTGTACAAAGTTTTAGAGTTCATTTTTATTTTATGAAGTTAACTGGTGTGAATTATTAGAAAAGCATTGAAATAAGATATCTTTTTACAAGATGGTATAAGGTAAGCATCAAAACCAAATCAGATAAATGTTTTTGGTGTTTTCTTATTCAATAGTTTTTAAGTTTTTATCTTATAGTCTGTTTTTAAATTCTTAAGCATACATATTTTCTTTTGACTATAACATATAGTTTCAAGTTAGTGAAGGATATAGAAGAACGAAAAAGTTTCTATCTCATATTGCATAATATTGTGATGTTGCTTAGAGACAACTATTGTCGAGAGATTTCGAGATTTTGTGATGCAATATTTAATTAGTTTTCAAGAAACATGATTCTATGAGGATAATAATCTCTCTTTATTTCTTTTTTTAAGGATAATAATCTTAGTTTGATTGTTGATGTTGTATGGCATTTTAGGATATGATGTAGTCATAGATTAAATCAAAGTTCACAAATCCAACGTTGTAGGAAACAAAATGAACAATATTCGTCTCAATTGTTAGTATTTAAGAAGAATATAACCATACACTTAATAATGTTTACTACACTTGATCTCTACCCTTAAACAAAGGTTTTGATAACGTTTATGTTGTTTTAATGATAAGTCCTAAAATGATTTTTTGGACAATGGTTTGAAATTTTTTTAAATTTAGGTGAATAAAATAATTAATTGTAATTATATAAAGAGAAAAAAATTCTTTAAATCTTGAAATGAATATGCACTAGAATAAAACAAACCAATAAAATAAAAGAAATTGCAAAAATATTCCTGCAGCATAGCTCAGGTTTTTATCTAGTAACATTAAAAAATGACAACACCAATTTTAGTCTTGTGGAGAGATAGAAGTGTTTATAGTTTATGAAGAAGATATGAAGTGTTTGAGCATGGAAAGAGTGTTTAAATAGATGTGTGATTTAATCTCATCATTGAACTTTAACTAATTAATCAGGTATTTAAAATTATTATTCAAAATATTAATAATGAATTAAATGTTTTAAATTTGTATTTATATTGTAGGTCAAAAGCATGTCAATGACTTTAACTAGTGGAATGATTTTATATAATAAAGAAGAGTTTCATTCAAAACTCTCTTTACAAACACTTGACATGTGGCACTATAACATGGTTTGAGAGCTTATACACCAGAGATGGTGAGCGAGAGATGTCGAAAAAGACAAAGATAATAGAGACAAGGTCTGATTCACTTATGTACTACCCTTGTCCAAAATATGAAGTTTTATTTACATCGATTTTTATTTAATTTTTGGCGTCCCATGTGAGCATTGAAATCAGATTATACAATATAAACGCTCTTTGTTTTGCTGTTTATTTTTAAAACTAATTAGTAACTTAGCAACATTAAAATGATACAAACCTTATATCACCAAATATTAACCTATGTCAATGATCAAAGTTAGAAGGTAATTCTGTTTTATCGCCATGTTTTCTTTCCGTAAATTGAACATATCTTTTAGAAAATTAAAAAAACCGTAATTTATGTGCTTGTCAGAAAAAAATGCTTTGGTGTAAAAACAGAGGTCGTTGATGTGATATTAAGTATTGGCTGGTTCTTTATATCGTGTGTGTGCATTACGGTATTTTATCACATTGCCTAAATCCAGTTTTAA